TTAAGAAGGGACTGGACAGCCATTTGCCTGAAATAGTGTAGGGTCTCCTGCTTGAGCAGGGGGTTCGACTAGAAGACCTCTAAGGTCCCTTTCAGGTCTATTCTGACTACCATGATGTGGAATGTTTGAGTCTCTTTACCTTGGAAAAAGAGAGGCGGAAGTGACATAATCAGACACAGGATGCAAATATTCGGTGGGGATCCATGTACCAAAAATTTTAATGACATGGACTTGAAGAAGATACATGACAAATTCCTTCCTGCCTTCCAAAACAGAGTACCATATTTTCCGGTGTATAAAACGACTGGGTGTATAAGACGACACCTGACTTTTCCTGTTAAAATATAGGGTTTGGCCTATACTCACCGTATAAGACTACCCCTCTTCCAACACACACCAAATGAAAATTAAAAAACATCAACTGGCTCACCCAGAATGTAAAAGCAGCTGTGCTAGACCCAAAATGGCCCCTGCAACAAGCAGGAACCTCACACAGCCACAAAAAGCCCAAAAAAGCAACTTTCACACTTTACACACACACAACACAACACAACAGGCTCACCCAGAATGTAAAAGCAGCTGTGCTAGACCCAAAATGGCCCCTGCAACAAGCAGGAACCTCACACAGCCACAAAAAGCCCAAAAAAGCAACTTTCACACTTTACACACACACAACACAACACAACTGGCTCACCCACAATGTAAAAGCAGCTGTGCTAGACCCAAAATGGCCCCTGCAATAAGCAGGAACCTCACACAGCCACAAAAAGCCCAAAAACCCAACTTTCACACTTCACACACACAAAATTCCACATACAGCTTTGTGAGATTTTGTGTGTTTGTGTAGTTAGAGTGAAACACTACAGAAACACATTAAATCTCAGAAAGCTGCACAAATATTATTTTATTTTATTTTTATTTTTATATGATAGCTAAATTTAAAACTTCCTAAACTTTAAATGGCTAGGTCTAAAAAAGAACAACTAAAAAAAAACCCCAATTAACTATTTTTTTTAAAGCTCCCAAAGGGGAAAAAAACTTACCTAATAGAACAGGGGTCTCCAACCTTGGCAACTTTAAGACTTGTAGGCTTCAACTCCCAGAATTCCTCAGCCAGCTTTGTTTTGCTTGATAGCAGGCAGGGAGTTGCTTGCTGATGGAATGGATTCAGGCAAGCGAAGCAAGGCAAGTGTTGCGACTAGCAGCTAAGGTAAGCAAGCTGGAGGGGGAAAACTTTTTTTCTTCTCCATGGCTCTGGCGATCCAAGCTGCGTTGCCTGATTAGCAGATTGTCAGGGCTTGGATCGCCAGAGCCATTTAAGGCTCGTCAGAGCCTTTTGGGCTGGTCTGCCTGGTTACAGGAGAACGACACCCGGCGTATAAGACGACCCCCGACTTTTGAGAAGATGTTCATGTGTTAAAAAGTCATCTTATACGCCGGAAAATACAGTATTTTTTCATCTAGGGGATAAGTTTATTATGGTTTGATCTGACTATGTGCCATTAATTTGTGATTGACTCTCAGCAACAATTGATTGATTCATTCAATCAATCATTTTCTATAGCCACCCATCTCAATCAAGAGATACTGGATGGCTTACAGTTCTAAACCTATAAAAGCAATTAAAACAATAAAGAAGCATTTAAAACAACATAAACGTTCCCAAAACAAATATATACATATATGGAGAGATCTTCTGCTGAATGGACTTGGTATGTGACTCAGGGGAATTGGGATATCTTAATTAAAAGTATATCTATGCTGTTTTGGAAAAATACATACTTTTAGCTATGGTGAATTTGTCCAAACCTTGGAAATGACTGAGGCAAGTACTTATATAAATAGGTAAAATTATTAATGAAAAAAAAAAAGATGCCAGCAGGCAGCAGCAAAAATGGTGACATCTGAAAACTGGAAGTATAATCTATCCTTTGATTCATGGGACAGTCTAACTCTTTTTTTTTTTTTCATTTTGTCTTCAGGCAAGATTAAAATCTTTCATTAACCAAATTAACGACATCAAAGAATCCTCTGCTTGGCATAGTCTGATATGAAAAGAGCTGGGTTGCTTATAAGAAATTTAGAGTTGTTGACTGGTAATAACTGTAATATATAAATAAGGTATTGATGTTGTTAAATAATGGGTATTTCTGGGCACATCCTTTACAGCAGGGGTCTCCAGCCTTGGCAACTTTAAGACTCGTGGACTGCAACCTCCCAGAATTCCTCAGCCAGCTTTGCTTTGCTGGCTGAGGAATTCTGGGAGTTGCAGTCCACGGTCTTAAAGTTGCCAAGGTTGGAGACCCCTGCTTTACAGCATGTCTAAAGGCTGAATCATGGCAACTGGACCAAATTTTGTTCATCTGAGACGTTTCATTGCACATCTATGCAAATTCATCAGTCAGAGCAAAATCAGATAGGCAGAGAATCAGATAATTGTTGGAATGTACCGATTCTTGCCACACCAACTGCAGGGATTTCTCCCCAAAATGGCTTGCAATATGTCAATCAAATTTCAATCGTCCGGGTCAAAGGCGTCTAAAATTGAATCTTGACTCTCTGCCTGCCTGCCTAATTATTTTTTGCTCTGATTGATGAAGTCGCTTGGATGAGCAATGTAGCATCTCAGATTAAGGAAGTTTGGACGGGTTGCCTCGATTCAACCTTCAGATACCTTTGGCCTGGATGTCTATGGAAATTCTCAGTCATCCAGGTCAGAGTTGTTCCAAAGGAGCTTTTTCAAGAGGCCATTGGACTTTCTGGTTGGAGAAGCTCCTTGAATGAGAAGCGAAACGTCTTCAAAGAAAAACCAGAAGGTCCAGTGGCCTCTTGAAAAAGCACCTTTGGGACAGTTTGGACTGGATGATTGAGTCTTCATTGACATATTCTCTACAGCAATGAACCACGGTGATGTCATCAATATCTGGCACATAGAAGTAGTGGCATTTGTGAGATGTGTGCAGTGGTGAGTTTCAAATTTTTTTACTACCGGTTCTGTGGGCGTGGCATGGCTTGGTGGGTGCTTGGTGGGCATGGCAGGGAAAGATACTGTAAAATCTCCATTCCCACCCGACACTCCAGGGGAAAGTTACTGCAAAATCCCCATTTCCTCCTGATCAGCTGGGACTTGGGAGGCAGAGAATAGATGGGGGCAGGGCCAGTCAGAATTTTTACTACCGTTCTCCGAACTACTCAAAATTTCTGCTACCAGTTCTCCAGAACTGGTCAGAACCTGCTGAAACCCACCTCTGAATCAGGGGTGAGATGTTCCCGGTTCGGAGCGATGGAGGCGGGTGGTTCGGAGAACCGGTAGCAAAAATCCCTGGCCCCCCCCATGCCCAGCTGAGCCGCACAATCATCAGAGGCTTTTTTTTTTTACTTTTAAAAGCATTTTTTCTACAACCTCTTCAGCCGAAAAAATGCTTTTAAAAGTAAAAAAAAAAAAAGCTTCTGATGATCGCGCGGCTCAGCTGGGATCATCAAAGGCTTTTAAAAGAAAAAAACCCTTTTTTTTCTTTTAAATGCCTCTGACGATCCAAGCTGAGTTGCCTGATCGGCAGAGACTTTTTTTTCTTAAAAGCCTCTAACGATCAGGTAACTCTGCCGATCAAGCAACCCTTTTTTTCTTTTAAATGCCTCTGACGATCCAAGCTGAGTTGCCTGATCGGCAGAGACTTTTTTTTCTTTTAAATGCCTCTAACGATCAGGCAACTCAGCTTGGATCATCAGAGGCATTTAAAAGAAAAAAAGGGTTGCTTGATCGGCAGAGTTACCTGATCGTCAGAGGCATTTAAAAGAAAAAAAGTCTCTGTCGATCAGGCAACTCAGCTGGGATCGTCAGAGCCTTTTGAAAACATTTTTTTATAACCTCTTCGCCGAAGAGGCTGTAGAAAAAATGGTTTTAAAAATTAAAAAAAAAAAATGGCCATGCCCACCCAGTCACATTACCCCCCCCCAAGCCACGTCCACAGAACCGGTAGTAACAAATTTTATATTTCACCACTGCTCTGAATGTGTGTACGGGCATCCCTTGTTGACCCCTGGTGACACCCTAAAAAAATCTCAGCAGTTTTCTTGGTGAGGTTTTTCAGAAGAGTTTGCCATTGCCTGCTTTCTAGGGCTGAGAGAGAGTGACTGGCCCATGGTTACCCAACTGTTCTGTTTGGGCAACCCCTCAAATATTGGAAGACTGTTATCATGTCACCCCTAGTCCTTCCCTTTGTTAGACTGGACATATCTAGTTCCTGCAACCATTCATCGTATGTTTTAGTCTCCAGTCCCCTAATCATCCTGGTTGTTCTTCTCTGCACTTTTTCTAGAGTCTCAACATCTTTTTTGTATTGTGGCGAATTACAAACTCAAAGATTGTGTTAGATATTTTTAAAAAAAAACCTTGCTTCCAGTTGGCCTTAGAGCAGGGTTTCTCAACCTTGGAAGCTTGAAGATGGGTGGACTTCAACTCCCAGAATCCCCCAGCCAGCGCTGCTGGCTGGAGGATTCTGGGAGTTGAAGTCCACCCATCTTCAAGCTACCAAGGTTGAGAAACACTGCCTTAGAGCATTATACAGGATGCAATCAATTACAGGTCGTTCTGATCTTACAACAGTTCAACTGTTCAAAGTTACAAAGGCACTGAAAAAAGTGACTTATGACCATTTTTCATCCTTACGGCCATTGCAGCCTCCCCATGGCCGCGTGATTTACATTCGGATGCTCGGCAACTGGCTCCTAGTTATGACGGTTGCAATGTCCCGGGGTCACGTGATCCGCTTTTGCGACCTTCTGACAAGCAAACCCAATGGGGAAGCCAGATTTACTTAACAACCGTGTCAACTGTATTGCTTCACTTAACAACTATGGCAAGAAAGGTGGTAAAACGGGGAAAAATTCACTTGACGAAATATCTCACTTAGCAAAAGAAGTTTTGGGCTCACTTGTGGTCGTAAGCCGAGGACCACCTGTACTTATAGACTTAGGGAATCAGCAAAATGCCACCTTACCTTGGTTGCAGAGGGGGCCGAAAAACCCTGGCAGGCAATCGCATTGGCCCGTGACATGATGGCAGGGAAGTGTGCTGTGGAGACATTGGGGACAAATCTGGTTGCAGTGAAGCCCGTAGAAACCAGGGGGACAAACTAAGAGAGAGAAGCACATAAAGCAGAAAAAGGAATAAACAAAACTGTGGGCGACAGCTTAAAAATATTAATCTCCATCCATTGCAATGTACTTCCGAAGACTTTTTCCAATTGATGGGATATAAGAAAGGTTACATAAGGACAGGGGTGGGATTCAGCCGGTTCAGGCAAACCGGATGTTAATTTTAATCTGGTTCGCCGTACCGGTAGTTGCAAGGACTGGCTGACCCCGCCCAATCTGTCCCGCTCCTCCCAGGAGTCTCCACCCAGCCCATTTTGGATGCCAAGTAAGTACAGGGCCCGTGCGGAGGCTCTGGGGGGGCAAAAAACGGGCCAACCGGAAGTTCTGGAAGTCCAGAAACGGCCCTGTTTTCACCCTCCCAGAGGCTTGAGGAAAGCCTCTGGAGCCTGGGGAGGGCGAAAAATGGGCCTACCGGAAGTACCAGAAGTCCGAAAACGGGCCTGTTTCCGGCCTCCAGAGGGCCTCTGGAGCCCGGGGAGGCCATTTTCGCCCTCCTGGAGGCTTGATTAAAGCCTCCAGAGTCTGGGGAAGGCGGAAATGCCCCCTCCCCCATGGTGCAGAAGGCCAAGTAGGCCACGCCCACCACGGCCATGCTCACCCACCAACCAGGCAGAGAACTGGTTGCTAAAATTTCTGAATCCCGCCCCTGTATAGAAAAGTCCTTATTTAGCGAGTGCCTCGTTTAGTGACTGGTCAGTTGCAACGGGGATGAAAAGTAACTTTATGAGCAATCTTTGCACTTTGAACCTTTGCAGGTCTTGGAAACTGAAATCAGATCAGAAATACAGTTAAGCAACTGCTTCCCTGAACAATTAAGTTGACAGTTCCAATTGTGGTCACTAAATGAGGATGTGAAGAAAAAAAATATACAGAAATAACCTTTCTTCTTAGAGCTACTTTGGGAGGTGGATTAATCATAGGAACTGAAGCAAAAACCAAGAAGGGGGTCATATCTATGCCCCCACCCTTTGCACACATGTGTGACATTGATGGACATATAAATCATGCAGGGCTTCAATTGCATGGTGACAATCACAATCCTGAGTTTTTGTGGACTCCCCTGAATGGAAGATAAACTAGGAAATGGAGAAGAAAAAGTGAAATAATCCTATTACTTGTAACAGGAATATCCAAAATTGTATTTAACATTGATAGAATATTTGTCTTTTCTTTCTCTGATTTATATTCAATACTGTATGGCACCTAAAGAGCAGAATATGATGAACCTAAGCTTGCTATACAAACATCATTGCACTGAAATAACATTATATAAAAAGTACTGAGCCCGTTCTATTTTAACACTTCATGCATAAATTATAGCCTCTTCAAATGTCACTCATTTAATCACGATTCTCTATAATATTCTCGTCTGATTTATTAGCCCTGTTATATTTTTAGCGGTACTTCAGCATGTGCTTCCGGTTGTGATGTTTTAACCAGCACAGACACTTCTCGGGTTACAACGGCAATTTTAACAAACCCGTGCTGACTGCTAGTTATTACTTTACTCGTTTCTAGCTGTTGGCAGATCTGTTTTTTTATGATCTTTTGGGGAATGGAATGGAATACAGAATAGGATAGGGTAGGGTAGGGTAGGGTAGGGTAGGGTAGGGTAGGGGAGGGTAGAGTAGAATAGAATAGAATAGAATAGAATAGAATAGAATAGAATAGAATAGAATAGAATAGAATAGAATAATTAATGTAGAGTAGAGTAGAATAGGAATAGGAATAGGAATACTGAATAGGATAGGACAAGATAGGATAGGATAGAATAGAGAATAGAGCAGAGAAGAACAGAATACAGAGAAGAAAGAAGAGAGAAGGAGAGAAGGGAAGAGAAATCACCTTTAAGTTGAAACCCCATTGCCTGGTCAAATTAAGCTCCACTTTTTTCCCTCTCTCTAGAGTTCCTGGAGTTACAATTTGAAACCCCCAGGACTTCACTGTGGCCAAAATAAAATAAAATTGTCCCCTGCCCCACTTTGCTTCCCTGACTCTTTTAGGCTTGGTCTTGCTGCAACATCACAGAAACTCGGCCAGCCGCAGGAAGCCAGGGCCTGTAATGGAAGCCCTGCGAGGTCATTAAGGGAGCCGGCCAGAGCCCCGAGGTCGAGACAGTAGCGGCTTGAAATAGAAGAAGAACAGCAGCCAATTATTTTGGAAGGCAGAGCAGATGCCTTGTGGCAAGAACAGCTGGAGGAGCAGGAGAGGGCTTCTGCTCAACATTACGAGAGTTATTTGTAATGATGAAGATCCTGGCGTGGAAAAGAGACCTCCGGGACACGATTATTAAACTCCGAGTAAGTCTCCCAGCTACTTTGGGTGATTTCCACATGTAGGGAGGTCCGTTATCAAATTATGAATAAGGATTAGGAGGCTCTTTTCACAGATGTCCGCCTGCAGTGTGTGTGTGTGTGGGGGGGATTGGTGAGGAAATAATGATTAAGCCAATTATTTCCCCCCTCCACCCCTTTACAACTTATACGCTGCTCCGTTTTGGCAGAGTCTGAGCAGCTTCCCTTATAAATATCAGAAGATGAAACACTGAAGTCAGTTATAGGTAGTCCTCACTTTATGACCATTTGAAACAGCCTGTGGGTTAACTGATTTTGCTTTGGGGTTCTCTTGGCCACGTGTCGTCCCCCCCCACTCTTTCTTTCCCTCCCAGGACTGTCTTGGGCAACAAATAGGGACGAGAAATAGCAATAGCCCTAGCACTTAGACTTATATATTGCTTCCCAGTGCTTTACAGTCTTCTCCAAGGGGTTTACAGAGTCAGCATATTGTCCCCCAACAGTCCCCCCAACTGACCTCCAAAGGATGGAAGGCTGAGTCAACCTTGAGCCTGTCAGGACCGAACTGCTGGCAGCAGGGGTGGGTTCTACTTACCTTTACTACCGGTTTGCAGTGGGGCTGCGCGCGTGCGCTTGCTTCGCTCGTGCACACGCTCGCTCTTCTGCGCATGTGCAGAAGCGTTTTGGTGATGTCGGGGTTGGTGGGCGGGGCCTGCCGCCGGTTTTACTACCGGTTCTATAGAACCGGTGCGAACCGGGGGCAATCCACCACTGGCTGGCAGTCATCAGAGTTAGCCTGCAGTGCTGTATTCTAACCACTGTGCCACCATGGCAGTAGACTAGACTAGACTAGAATTACAAAATGAATAGAATATAATGAAATTATGAATAGAATAGAATAGAATAGAATAGAATAAAAAATAGAATAGAATAGAATAGAATAGAATAGAATAGAATAGAATAGAATAGGAATTAGAAATAATAGAAATAGCACTTAAGACTTATATACCACTTCACTGTGCTTTCCAGCCCTCTCTAAGCGGTTTACAGAGTCAACCTATTGCCCCCAACAATCTGGGTCCTCATTTTACCCACCTCCGAAGGATGGAAGGCTGAGTCAACCTTGAGTCAATTAGAATCAAACTCCTGGCAGTCAGTAGAATTAGCCTGCAATACTGCATTTTAACCACTGGGAGGGAGGGAGGGAAGGAAGGAGGGAGGGAGGGAGGAGGGAGGGAGGAAGGAAGGGCAATAGCAATAGCAATAGCACTTAGACATACCGCTTTACAGTGCTTTCCAGCCCTCTCTAAGGGGTTTACAGAGTCAGCCTATTGCTCCCAACAATCTGGGTCCTCATTTTACCCACCTCCGAAGGATGGAAGGCTGAGTCAACCTCGAGGCAATGAGAATCGAACTGGAGAATTGCAGAAGGGAAGAGTAATGTAACAGACTGGATCAGAAGCGGGCCACCAGTTTTGGGCCTACAGCAAAGTTCTCCAAAATGGTTAGTATCAACCCCGCTGAGTTGATATCATTTTTGTTGCTGTTGTTGTTATTCATAGTGATGTCGGTTACAGTAGTACAGGTAGTCCTCAACTTACAACAGTTCATTTAGTGACCATTCAAAGTTGCAATGGTCCTGAAAAAAAGCAACTTATGTCCAACAGAATCTATGACCGTTGCAGCAGATCCCCATGGTCAGGTGATCAAAATTCAGATGCTTGGCAACTGACTCATATTTATGACGGTTCCAGTGTTCTGGGGTAATTCTGTCAAGCGACCTCTGACGAGCGAAGTCAATGGGGAAGCCAGATTCATTTAACAACCGTGTTGTTAACTTAACAGTCACAGTGATTTACTTAACAACGGTGGCAAGAAAAGTTGTAAAATGGGGCAAAATTCATTTAACAATTGCCTTGCTTAGCAACAGAAATTTTAGGCTGAATTGTGGTCGTAAGTTGAGGACTACTTGCATTTAGTGAATTATTTTCATATAAAAATATCTGAGAGTCCATGGAACTTCATAAAGGGGTAAAGGTTCTGAAGAATTTGGGGACACCTGGCCTGAATTTAAAATTTTAATCCAACCAAAAACTGTTTGGGATCCTCCCATAATTGTTAGAAGTGGTGCAGGGGTCTTGGGAGCAAAATGATTTTGGAAACACTGCTGTAGGATGTTAGGAATATGACTATTGCCTAACTTGTTGGGTTGGCAATATATAAACCATCAATGTATGTTTGTATTGTATTGCATAGCTTTAAGACTGCTGTATTGCATTATACTGTGTCCTGATTGGTAAGCTCTATTGCCAATGTCCTTAAGAGGGAGCTAGAAACATGGCTTGTTCTCTTTGTTGTTCTTGCTCTTGATATCTCTATCTGACTTACTGTCTTATTGTTTGCAACTCTAGAAGAACTGTTTACTGTGTATAATTAATATGACTGGTATGAAGACTTTGTTTACTGGACTGTGTAAACTATAACATGACTCAGTGTATCTGTGTGGTGACTGTGCTTATTCATAACTACTCTCAACCGCTTTCATGTGCACACCCTTGCTATTCAAGGGTTATTCCTTAACATAGTCCGGGAGTCTCCAAAATTGGCAACTTTAAGTCTTGTGGACTTCAACTCCCAGAATTCCCCAGCCAGTCATGGGAGGGGAATTCCACAATTCCACATGGGAGTTGAAGTCCACAAGTCTTAAAGTTGCCAAAGTTGGACACCCCTACTGTTGAGTATGGCCAAAACAGCAAGTTAGATACCAGCCACGACGGTCACAATTAACACTCACAGGTTTTGGGACCCTATCTTACACACTGGCTGAAGATTAACATAAAATACAGTACAATGAAAACTGCTAATATGCTTCCTGTCCACCTATGAAATTTCCTTTCAGCGTTCCAGTTTTCCTACCATCAAAATGCAAAAGTACAATTTGTCAGCAAGTTCGGGAGGGATTCAGGAAGAGATCAAAAGGAGGAACTGCCGTGTGGGATTTATAAGACAAAGCATGAGATTCTTACTTCTCTGGCACATGGGTCCACGATAGCCTGGGGCGCACTCACAGATACCATCTTCCGGAGAGCAGGAACCTCCATTTTCACAGTTGCAGGCAATGGAACAGTTGGGTCCCCAGCGGCCAGGCGAGCACACGCTATCGCAGTGGATGCCTGGGGGGAAAGCAAAGATGGGGATGAATTGTGCAGAAAAAGAGGACTCACTCATGTATTGGTGGAAAGGAGGTTTGCACTCTCCTTGAGGCACGCTTGGGTTTCAAACGCGGAGGGCTGTGTCTTCAGCATAGAAGGTATGTGTTCCAGAAAGTCTGTGGGATTTGAAGGAAAAGCCAAGCAAGTTCATTTTGGAATCTGATGTGAAGTTAATTTCTTCCTTAATCTTTAACCTTCCCTTGTTTTTTTTTAAGGAATAAGCTATCACCCTTTTTTTGTTTCTTTGTTATTGCTATTGTTTACTGAAGTATTTATCAGCCTAGCAACTTTAAGATGCATGGCCTTAAACTCCCAGAATTCCCCTGCTAGCATGCTGGAAGAGGAATCCTGGGAGTTGAAGTCCACAGATATTTGAGGGGTTGCCACAAATATAAGGGGGATCAACTTATTCTCCAAAGCACCTGAAGGCAGGACAAGAAGCAACGGATGGAAACTAATCAAGGAGAGAAGCAGCCTAGAACTAAGGAGAAATTTCCTGACAGTTAGAACAATTAACCAGTGGAACGGCTTTGCCTTCAGAAATTGTGGGAGCTCCATCACTGGAGGTCTTTCAGAAGAGATTGGACAATCATTTGCCTGAAATGATATAGAGCCGTGATGGCGAACCTATGGCACGCGTGCCACAGGTGGCACACAGAGCCATATCGGTGGGCACGCGAGCATTGCCCTAGCACAGCTCCATATTTTCAGGCCTTCCGGACTCACCAGAAATAGGAAAACAGGCTGTTTCCGGCCTCCAGATGGCCTCCAGTGGGGTGGGGGAGTCTGTTTTTCACCCTCCCCAGGCTCCAAGAAAGCCTCTGAAGCCTGGGGAGGGCGAAAAACAGGCCTACCGGGCCCACTGTGCCATCACATGCCAAAAGCGTGGGGCGCATGGGAGGGTCGCGCGCATTAGGGCGGGGCGCATTGAATTATGGATGTGGGCACACACGCGCACGACCCCGCCATGCTCCCCCTGCTTTTGGCACAGGACGGCAAAAAGGTTAGCCATCACTGATATAGAGTCTCCTACTCGAGCAAGGGGTTGGAGTAGAAGACCTCCACGGCCCCTTCCAACTCTGTTATTCTATGTTCTAAGATGCTTGCTGGGGAATTCTAGGAGTTCAAGTCTAGACATTTGTGATGGAATGTAGTGAGGAGATAGATCCCCAGAGGAGAGGGGTCGCATTACAGAGGAGTAAGAGGCAACTCAGCCCAGATACCATGTGTGAGAGAAAGGGGGTGAAGACTGACCCTCCCTAATAGTTCTCAGAGTATACGGTAGATGCAGAGAGTAGAGTGCTTTAGTCTGGCAAGATTCTGTCTATAGGCGTGAACAATGAAGGGCTCAGCTTGGAAGGTTCACCATGTGTCGTTCTTGGTTTTGCCACACTAAAGCACTCTGCATCTACCATACACTCTGAGAACTATTAGGGAGGGTCAGTCTTCACCCTCTTTCTCTCACACATTGTTCTGACCCAGGCTTCCTGAGTCAGTAAAACACATGAGTAGTCCTAAAACCCTCTTTTATTGCAACAGCTGTGAATTCTGTTCATTCACAGATGAGTCCCCAATAGTTGTAAAGAGTCCTTTGGGATAAGGCTGATAATCACCCACCTTTATCTCCCTTGACACGCAGCCAAAGACCTAATTGGCAAAGCCAATTCAGAATCAAACAGAGCTTCAGACTTTAAGCTGAACCGAATGAACAAACGTTGCTTCCTGCAAAGGCCCACGTGCCTTTGCTCCTCTTTTAAGTCTTATGGGAGGGGCCAATCATCTCCAAGCCCTACTCTCGAGTCGTCCCTTTTGTTTTAACTGTTTGTGCCTTCTGGCAGCTCTGTGCATGCGCGCACTGGGAACAGGCTCCCCCTGTTCCTCTGCCTCGCTGAGGTCCGACTCTGGAGGCTCCGGAGGCAGCACGTACCTCCCAGATGGCCCCTTCACTGCCTCCGATGCAGAGCCCTTATCCAAGCTTTCCCCAGACTCCAGGACTAGCCCATTTCCTCCCCAGCCTCCTCACTGTCCGACTCTGCTGCCAGCTCCGCAGGCCACTGGCGGACCACAACACACATGATATCAAGGTGGAGTTGCCTCTTACTCCTCTGTAACGCGCCCCCTCCTATCAGGGAATCCACCTCCTCACTGTGTCCTATCCCACCATGCTGGTTGTGGAATTCTGGAAGTTGAAGGCCACACATCTTGAAGTTGCTGGCTGCACAATTGATCCTCCTGTGCTTTTCTGTGTATTACATACACAACACGTGTGAAAGAGAGGTTTCAATGTGTTCACAGCCACCATCTTCATGGCTTTGACAATGCCAACACCCCTGAAGGACAGAGGTCTTCAAACTTGGCAGCTTTAAGACTTGTGGACTTCAACTCACTGGCTGGAGAATTCTGGGAGTTGAAGTCCACAAGTCTTAAAGCTGCCAAGTTTGAAGACCTCTGAGCTAGGAGGAACAGCAGATCTACACTATGATATCATGATCAAGGGGTGGACAAGAAGAGAGAAGAAAAATCAGTATTGACTCAAGGTTAATTCTTTTTGGGTAAGAAAACAATGGAACTCATTTTGTATTTCAAACTCCCAGGGAACCTAATATCCTTGCAGGCCCATGACAAAGTCTACCTGTACACATGACCCACATGGCATCATTCAGTCATTCCATGCTGAGATCATGCTGAGTGTGATGCAATTTCCTCCTTCAGCCTGCAGATGCTCCTGAAACTCCACCGGTTGAATTCCACAAGAGTGAACTGAGGTGGAAGAAACTCCCTCTCTACTACATTATTACATCTACAGATTCAGATCTGGATAGGTCTCACCTGGGATTTAATCCCACCCCCACTGTTCTTCTACAAATGTCACACTTCTCCTTGATCATGTCCTGAATTCTCCATCCAAATTCCATTTCAATTAGCAGCAAGGTGCTTGTCTATTATGGTTAAAGGCGCAATTATACGTTTATAGGTTTTTGTTCTTTTTAATTCTCATGACAGAATAGGGGAGACATATGTTAGGGATGTACCAACATCTTTGTAACCTTCATCTCATTCAGCCATTCCCAAACACTCAACATTGCAAAGCTCTGAAGGCCAAATAGGACAGCCAAGTCCTTTTACTGAATGACCCTGAACTGAAGGATCCTGGATGCTCTCTGAGCTTGGTTGTTTTCATGCAGACGTTTCACTACCCAACTAGGTATCATCATCAGTGTTAGAAGGTTTGCACACTCCCTTCTACTACTGATGAAGTTCTTTTGATTTTTAGATTTAAAATAATGTTTATGTTTGTTTATGTTTTATTAGATTTATATACCGACCTACTCCCGAAGGACTCAGGGCAGTGAACAGCCACAAAGTAAAACATATAAATACAAAATTTAAAAGCAGAATAAAACCGAATTAAACAATTTGGCCCAAGACAAATTTAAAACACCCCAATAATTTAAAAACAGATTAAAATGTATATTGTAAAAAGAACAAAGAAAAAAGGGGGAAAATTAGGCTAGGCCAGCTTGGTGGAATAAAAAGGACTTGAGAGCACGGCGGAAAGTGCGCAGATCCGGGATCCTCCGTATCTCCGGGGGGAGCTCGTTCCAGATAGTAGGTGCCCCCACAGAGAAGGCCCTCCCCCTAGGGGCCGCCAGTCGACACTGTTTGGCCGACGGCACCCGGAGGAGCTCCTCTCTATGAGAGCGTACCAGCCGGTGGGAGGCTGTTTGTGGTAGCAGGCAGTCTACTATTTATTAAGTTTCCAAAGATTAAAATACACAATACAAAAAGGAACATAATACACAAAAAATCAAGAAAAACACACACACACAAAGTATAAACAACCAAAAACAAACATATCAAAATTTCAATAATAACAACTTTTCTGCATTGGTACCTCTAGCCTATTTAACCTCTTTACACAAATTCTACTTCTAAATAACTGTATCTTAAACTTACATCTTTATCTAAATTATCCTGACTTCTATTTACAATTCGATCTTGTAACAAAAACATCCCTTAAGTTTTATGTTTACTCTCCAACCAGGAATACCATTTATTCCATATTAAATAGTACTCGGTATCCTCCCTCTCCTTCATTTCCATAGATAATCTGTCCATCTCTGCACATTCATATATATTTTTTTATTATGATTTGATCTGGAGGGGTGTCTGATTGTTTCCAATTTTGTGCTATCACAATTCTACTTGCCATTAGTATGTGTAATATGATATATTGTATATCAGATTAAAAAATGGCTGGATGAAATAACAGGGCAGAATTATTTCTCCTGGGTATTCTGGAAGTTCTTTGATTTTTAATTTTCTATTGTGTTTATTTTTCAATGGTACTCCAAGACCTCCTTATGGGTGGGCAGCTTACAAACAGATAAATACGTTTCCTTAGATAGTAATGATAGACTTAGGAACCACTTTACTTAACAGGAAATTAGGCCCTACTCAACATGATCCAGTCTCTATGTACAAAAATAGATGGATGATAGACAGACAGAGAGACATTTTGCAAACATGCAAATTCAGGTTGCAAAGGGCTACAATTTGGCATTTTTTTAAAATGCCACTCAAATCTACCCAGATGCCCTGGCCGGCTGCTATTTATTTAATTAGTGACATTTAAATAAAGGCCTCTACCCTTTTTATCATCATCTTATGAATTGAAATGTTCTCGGAGGATCTCTGCAAATTCGCCGTCGCCTGAGAAGCAATTATTTGTGGGTGGAGGCTTATGAAGAAAACCCGTTGATTATTTGACTTAAAACACGGGGGATTTCCACGGAGAACAATGCCAGCCTACCCAATGTGAGATGGGAAAGGAAGAAGGCTAGTGCAGCTTCAGCAGTGATCCTGGTGAGAAAATGCTCATTTATTTATGTCCACCGATTTAAAAAACAAAACAAAATATAAAGCTAACTCCCAACAATGGTAAGCATCCTACATAAAAC